ATATATATATATATATAATAGTAAAATGTATATATAACAACAATAAATCAATAAAAAAGAAATAAATATATATAATGATAATAAAAAATATAGAAAATAATAGAAAAATATATGTATATATTATAAAATATAGCACTTAAAATAAAAAAAAACCAAATATATATTAATAATAGGTATAAAACTAAAATATTTAAAAAGAACATACGCATATATATATATAACAAATAATAATATAAAAATAATACAAGTAATATACAATAAAAAGAAAGAGAAAGTAAAAAAATAATAAAAATAAAATATAAAAAATATACATATATATATAATAAGTAGAATAAAGGAAAATATAATAGTAAAAATAATAATAAATATAATAGTAATAATAAAAATGCAAAGAAAATAAATATATATATGGGTAATAACATATATAAATAGAGAAAAATTAAAAAACTGATAAATTAAAAATAAAATTAGTAAGTATGTGTATATATATATAAAAAACTAATTAAGGGATTAAAATGAAAAGAATGTAAATTAAGTGGGTAAATGTCAAAGAACATTGAAGATTAAAACCGGCAAAAATAAAAAGTTTCATTTTTGATAGATTTTCGTACTCTCATTCCAAAAATGTAATTTGTTTTTGCGAAATAGCCTCTAGGGAGCATAGATCTGAAATCAATGTTTCGAAAAAACTCCCTCTGGGTCATCGGCTAAAGCATTTGTCTTTGGGGTTCTCCAAAGAAAACACGATTAACAACGCATGCAAGTGAAAAGTAAAGAGAAACAAACGAAAGATAAAAAAAAGCTTTCACCTTTATTACTTCGAATCGTTTACAATAGCTTTGCCTTTGTATTTTCCGTGTTTTCCTCTGTATTTTTGTCTGTAAATCGTGTCCTACAATAGTGAGTTACAATGGCTATTTATAGTGCTTGTGGATCCTATCTTTAGGAGTTTAAATCATAGTAGAACTCTATCATATTTTTAAGAGTTTAAATCCTAACAAAATTCTATCATATTTTTAGGAGTTTGAATCCTAATAGGACGACAAGGTGTGTTGACATGTACCTTTTTTTCAACCGTCTATAATTTTTTTTAATATTAGTCCCTGAATTTGAAAAAAAAAATAATTTTTTATGATGTGCTAAAATCTCATAGTATCACATTACGTGATAAAAATTTCAAATTTAGTAAGTGATATAAATTAAAAAAATAAACTATATTAATAATGTTGTAAATTTAGAGATTAAATGTTGTGTATCTTTGTATTAAGTTCAATATATTCAAGTTTAAATATTCTTTCGAATCAATTACGGATGATATTGAGTAAATAAATGATATCATAAAATAAAAATACACAACCATATGTAAAATATCTTAAACAAGAAAAATCATGAATAGATGAAAGAAATATTACTATATCGGCCATAAATATAAGAGAATTTAAGAAAGATACATTCAAATTTTAAATTGTAATTATGTATATAATTGTACATCGGATTCAAATGTCGTCTCATCCGCTACAAAATATTTTTCATAATTATTTTTCTATTAAATTAATTATAAAGTAGTTTTTTAGATCAATCATACTAAAATATAAATAACAAAATCTAATATAACTTATAATCTTTAAATTGTTATATTTACAAAAATACTAATTGAATTAAGAAATATATTAATCCGAACGAAATTGTAGATGATATATCTACTTTATTGTGGTCCCCCATGGCCCCTGCCGTTCCTTATAAGGTTCAACAAATAAAAGGAAAAATTAAAATGGACTTGGGGCTTGTAAAATGTTTTGCCTTCCTTTATTCTTCCCTTTTGGATTACATGATAATAAAAGTCCTTTTCGCCAACGCTTCATTTTTTTCATTTGACCCTAATTGTGTATTTTAATTTTAAAAATCGTTATATATCTTGTTTATTTATATGCTATATTTGAGTATAAACATATTATCGAACTTCGGTAAATGATTTTAATAATTAAAGAGAGTAGCATTTTCCTTAAGGTCTTGAGTTCGTGTAATTGTATTTGTAGAATGTGTAAATTTTATCAATAGTTAATTTTTTTTAAACAGATATTACTTTTTAATAATCGCATATACTATTAAAAATGTTTTCTTCTAACTCTCTCCATCTATCTTTACCTACTTATTAAACCATATTTAAATTTAAAATATTATGTATGAACCAAGTTACTTCAATGGTTAAAAGGATGATTGTTATCGATATAAGTTTTAAATTCGAGCAACAGTGATTACAGAGTATTTGAGCTTTCATTATCAAATGATTGAAAGTTTCTAGAACAGATACTACCACTTATAATCAGTCTAAATTAATAAAAAAATTATGTTATTTGAAATAATTATATAAACAGGTAACACAAAATCATACTATGCTAATTAGTTGTTAGATGATAAACACTAAAATTATTTTATAAATTTAATATTGTATACTAATTTTGGAACATTGTTCCACAATTTCGTGTGGAATTATTCATCGTTATTTAAAAACACAAAAAAAATTCAACTCTTCACGATAAGTCATCCACTAAAGTTCGAAAAAAAAACAAATGTAAATAGTGATAACAAATGGAAACGCATTGCACAAGGGGGAATAAGTAATAAAATTAAACAAAATTAGAGAGGTATGGTATGGTGGTCCATTTCTCCTTTTTTATTTATATTTGAGATTCTTCTTAACTGATTTTTATGATATTTTTAGACAGACGTGCTTGTTATTATTTTAAAAAAAAAACTAAATTTGATGGTCAATAATGACACACCATTGATTATTTAATTATGTATTCGATGGTAAACAAATTGTTTTTAAAGGTATAAATATATTATTCAATTAAAATATTATTTTAAATATGTAATTGATTATTAAATATTAGATGAATAGTGAAATGACACGATATAATAATATTTTTAATTATTAAATTTTATATAATTTATCAATTTAATCTTAATTCAAAATAATTTAAAATTTTATAATTTAAAATTTTAGCATTTTAATCGTGGTTCTTCTCATATATATTATATTATTTTTCACTTTTTTAGCATTATCATAATTTAATAATAATTTGATATGAAATAATTATTCAATTGAATTTTGGAATATTTTTAATTCGATCAACAATATGATTTATACGTAGTGTTAGTATGACTGGTTGAGATCCATGTAAACTTGTGAGGTCAAATTCAAATCTTACCACCGTCACTCAAGCAATCTATAAATTCTAATTAGACCCTAAATGCATTGATCCTAAATTAGAGTAACCACCCCAACCTCGTTTATTTTTAATAAGAAAACAATACAATCTACACTCATCCATACATATAATTCTTTGGGTAAGGTTCAGTCAAACCATCTCAATCGCAATAAAAATACTGTTTATAATCAAATATTTATTAAAAAAAATCCAAATGAATCTGATAAAAAGTTGCTTTTTAGAAAAATCTAAGATGACGTTGAATAATATCTTATTACAAAATGAAGGTCGATGTCAAAGAAGATATAAAATAAAAATAAAGTAAGAGTTAAATTTGTAGTAATTAATGACGAAAGCATTTACACTTGCTCCTTGTTCGCAAAATTGCAAAATGTTACCAACTTAGAATCGTACATCTTTAAATGCCATGTCTCCAACTTTAATTCTTTTGCTTTTAGGACCAAAGCAAAATAAAAATAAAAGAGCACTAGTTTCTAGTAGAGGAAACGAACACGTGGTCGCCACTCAACTCTGTTTTTCCTTTTGTATGAGACCTCAAACCTTCAATAATAAAGCTGTCTATCTTTTCGTATTCCTTCATTTCCTTCATAATAATATTTCAATTTTTTTAAAAAAAGATTTTTAATTTTTTTATTAATTTTAATATTTTCCCAACAATTGACTTTTATTTTATTTTTTTAGGAATTTAAAGATCTTTTGGTTTAAAGATAGAAGGGATCCATTATTTTTTTTCTCATGTGGGTTTAAATGTATTTACGTATATAATATCATATTATCATCCAATTATGATTAGTTTAGATGTTGTATAAAAATTAGTGACAAGTATTTATGCAGTATTTATACCGAATATTATTAATAATAAAAGACATAACGTTGAAATTAACTCTAAATATTTATTAAAATTATCATTTTAATTTATATTTTTCCTATTTTAGCTTAATATTTTATTTTAAAATAAAAAAATCATAATATTTTATTGAATAATTACTTTTACCTTTATTATTTTTAGAGAATTTTGACTCTCGGCATTTAATTTAAGGATAAAAGACTCTTATTTTAAAAGGTTAACTAATAATATACATTCACATATAAATCTTTTTTACCCAAAAATAAAACGTTGATAGTTAAAATACTCTAAATATAAATCAAAATCAAAATAATTATTTAATCAAACATTAAGGGTATTTTTTTATATTAGTTTTTTATTAGAGTAAACTTTTTATATTATGTCATAATGGAAACAGTTTCAACATTTGGACTAATTAATTTTTGCTCCCCAAAAAATGGTGAAATTAACTTAATTAAGGCCGGCGGAGCATCGTAATCAAGGGCAGACAATTTTACCCGAAAGCAGCCGCGTGGTTGTGTGACGCGTAAAATTATTTAGTTCCTTTCACCCCGTCTGTGCTATGCTGACATGGCGGTCACCTTAACCCCACATGCCTGCCTCATTTGGTGCCATGTCTACGTGTTGTGGGCCCCAACTTGTCCCCTTCCCAGTCGACAAAGATATAAAATCTCCCTTTAAACCTTTTTTGAGTTTTTATTAATTATTTCCAAATAAAATATTATTTATTTATTCAATACAAGTCGTTGGCCTCCTTCCAAGCCAGTCCCTGTCTCATTCCGACGTGGCACTCCCACTTCCCCTATTTAATCCCCCAGTAATCTTCGTCCTCATCGCACAGTTCACAGTTTTATCTCGTAGCAAAAAGCTTTCCTTTTCTCCATTTCCTCTAGAACAAAATTTAACAAAATACAAAGCTCTTTTTCTGTTATAAAATGGCTGTCGGTTCTGCAATCTCATCACTACTTGGTCCACCGGCATGCGAGAAAGACGCAAAGGCTTTACGGCTCATCGAGGAAATGACCCGAAACGCCGATGCCGTTCAAGAACGAGTTTTGACCGATATCTTAACCCAAAACTCTCGAACCGAGTACCTTAGCCGGTTCAAACTCGACGGCGCCACCGACCGTGAGTCGTTCGAGTCCAAGCTTCCCGTCATTACTTACGAAGACCTCCAGCCTGAAATCCAGCGTATCGCCAATGGCGACCGCTCCGCTATTTTATCGGCACACCCCATCTCGGAATTCCTCACCAGGTTTGTATATAAATGATAGTATTTCGAGGAATAATATATATATACATAATAAATTTTGAATATTTATGTATATTCTGGAAAATTGTGTAGCTCCGGGACTTCAGCTGGTGAGAGGAAACTGATGCCAACGATTAAAGAAGAGCTAGATCGCCGTCAGTTGCTCTACAGTTTGCTGATGCCAGTAATGAATCTGTAAGTAAATATTTTAAAATTGTTTGCATTGTTTATTTTGTTTAATTTATTTAGTATAATTAGTGGAACGCGGTTTCTATGTAAAAACAGTTACGTGCCGGGTTTGGACAAAGGCAAGGGATTATATTTCTTGTTCATTAAATCAGAAACAAGGACCCCGGGTGGTCTCTTGGCTCGCCCGGTTCTAACCAGCTACTACAAGAGCGAGCATTTCAAGACCCGACCGTACGACCATTACAACGCTTATACCAGCCCCAACGAGGCCATCTTGTGCCCCGACTCTTTTCAGAGCATGTACACCCAGATGCTTTGCGGTCTCCAGGACCGACACCAAGTTCTTCGTGTTGGCGCCGTGTTTGCCTCGGGTTTACTCCGTGCGATCAGGTTCCTCCAGCTTAATTGGGAACAGCTCTCCGTTGATATCGAAACCGGTGACTTGAATCGGAAAATCACCGACTCTTCGTTGAGGGAATGCATGACTAAGATCTTGAAACCGAACCCCGAGCTTGCTCTGTTCGTGCGACAGGAATGCTCCAAGGAAAACTGGGAGGGGATTATTACAAGAATTTGGCCGAACACGAAGTATCTCGATGTTATCGTAACCGGAGCAATGGCACAGTATATTCCCACCCTGGATTATTACAGCGGTGGGTTACCTAAAGCTTGCACGATGTACGCTTCGTCCGAATGTTATTTCGGGTTGAACCTTAACCCCATGTGCAAACCATCCGAAGTTTCGTATACCATCATGCCGAACATGGCGTACTTCGAGTTCTTGCCCCACGAGCCTAATTCATCCGGGTTCACCCTCGATTCGTCCCCGAAACTCGTCGACCTGGTCGACGTTGAAGTGGGGAAAGAATACGAGCTCGTGATCACGACCTACGCGGGACTATACAGGTACCGAGTCGGCGACATTCTCCGAGTTACGGGGTTCCACAACTCTGCCCCGCAATTCCATTTCGTTAGGAGAAAGAACGTTCTCCTCAGCATCGACTCCGACAAGACCGACGAGGCCGAGTTACAGAAGGCAGTCGAGAACGCTTCTCGACACCTGCGCGAATTCAACACCAGCGTCGTCGAATACACAAGTTACGCCGACACCAAGACCATCCCCGGTCACTACGTGATATACTGGGAGTTGTTAGTCAAAGACGCAGCTAACTCCCCTACAGACGATGCCCTTAAAAAATGTTGTTTAGCCATGGAGGAATCACTCAACTCGGTGTACCGACAAGGCCGAGTTGCGGATAACTCAATCGGACCACTAGAAATCCGCGTGGTGAAGAACGGAACGTTCGAAGAGCTGATGGATTACGCCATATCGAGAGGCGCATCCATCAATCAATACAAGGTCCCGAGGTGTGTTAACTTCACACCGATCGTGGAATTGCTCGATTCTCGGTTGGTCTCGGCACATTTTAGCCCTGGTTTGCCACATTGGAACCCTGAAAGGAGGAGATGATTTCATTTCAGTGGTTTGTTTAGGCACACAACCGACTAGATTAAAAGTCAAAATGACTTAGTTTTATTGTAACTGTGGATTCTCTTTGTTTCCACATTAAAGCAGTGGACAAGTTGATTAGGATGTTTCAGGGTCAGGTTTTGTAATTTTGGATTCATAGGGCGTCTGGGCTGAAGATGATGTCTGTCGTATGAATTGTTTCTTTCATGCAATGGCAATTAGATAAGGTTTCTGATAAGATACTTCATTGTTGGGATTTATTATTTTAAACAAGTCATTTCTTAATTTTATTCATTTATATTACAATATTTAATTAATTTAAATGTTATACACCTATTTTTCTCAAGTAATTAAATATAACAACAATAAAAAAAACCTTTCTAGATTTATCTAAAGATTGATCTTTTCGAAATGATCAAATTTTATTTCTTTTGATAATCATAGCTAGTTTTTCATATGGTGTCCCTTCTGATACAACACTACAAGAAAATATACCTTTAATGACACACGAACGATTATACACGTTAATTTATGACTTACAAAAAATGTGTGTCATAAAAAAATATTATTTTTTAAAATTTAAACGATTTATAACTTACAATAATCTGTGTCATATTTAATAATCATAATCTAAAATATTTATAAAAACACAAAATACAATTTTAATTATATGTCATTTGTAAAAATCGTCTTTTAATTCTCCCGTTATTTTCATTCTTACTCGCTTCTTCCCCCTCGATAATTATCAGTTCACGCCGCATGCTTCCCCTTTTTCTCTTGCATCAGTGGATTTGTATCAGTGGACAATGGAAGCAATGCTTCTCGGCTTTCATCGCCTCAGCCCTGGCCTCTTATCGCCAAAACCCCTTAAAATTCCAGGTTAGTCTTCCTCTGTTTGGTTCTTTAGAAAAATCTAGAAGTTAAAGGAGTGAACATTAACAAAGAAGTGTTGAGCACCGTTTCGATTTTGCTTTTGGATTTTGAATCCTGGATTTTGATTTTCCCATAGGGTAAAACTAAACGTCGTGGGATTCTACCTCATCTTCGTCTTCTCTTGATGACTCTACCGGCTTAAACCAAAATTATGATCTCAGACCTGTTGGCCAACGTTTCGGTTTGTTGACACTCACTGAACCTAGTCGTGGAAATGGCGATGACTTTGCCAATGCATCGTTGAATCGGGATTTTGATTTTCCCAGAGGGAAATTCCCTGAAGTTCTGCTTGTACATAAAGTTCGTTTCCTTTCCTTTTACCTCTAACTTTGATCTCTCGTCTGCTTTCCCTTTCCTTTTACATTGCTTCTGTTTACTTTTTGTGTTGTAGACGGAAAAGGGTCAATAGAAATAGAATAAGAATCCTTACAGAAGAGAGTTCCCGAAAGGAAAAGGGGAATTAACCAGTTCTGGAATTCACCACTACAAAAATCACATCCGATTTTAACGGCAACCAAAGCTTTTGTCTTTCATTCTTTTTTTTCTTTTTCAATCTACTTGTAGTCTGCTTTATTTTACATAGAAATTTGGGATTTAAATTTATTTTTTCCCTATTATTGTCTTTCGTTCTTTTGGCCTTCTTCTCTTATGTTGATTTGCCTTAGAAGTAAATTTTTCAATTATCATTTTAGCTCTTCCTGTTATGGTGGAAACTATATCAAGGAAAATTGAGGAGTATATTGTAGTGCAATGCCTCATATGTTGTGATGTGGGACTCCCCTGCAATGCTCGCCAGTCTTGTAATGACCTGTGTTCTCTCATATTTCCTTTTCAGGTCGGTATACATGTCATTGGTTACTGTTGTTTACTATTTAGCTAAGAGAAAATCGCCTCAGTGACCAAAAAAAAGTTATAATATACGATTTTAATCAACTTTTTTTGGATTTGCCAAAATGACCAACAAAATCGCAACGCGAAATAAAAATCGCAACGCGATCCCCAGAATCGCAAATCAGTTTCCAAAATCGCAACGCGATTCTTGAAAATCGCAATGCGATAGTACAAATTCGCATTGCGATTTTCCAAAATCGCAACGCGAATATGAAAATCGCAACGCGAACACATAAATCGCAACGCGTATCCGTAAATCGCAACGCGTATCCGTAAATCGCAACGCGTATGGGTAAATCGCAATGCGTATCCGTATATCGCAACGCGTATCCGTAAATCGCAACGAGAATCTGTAAATCGCAACGATAATCCGTAAATCGCAACGCGATATTTAAAGCGCCATTATAATCGCTACGCGTATTTTATTTTCAAATTACAAAAAGAATATTAAGACAAAATCCCGTAATCGCAACTCATAACCTAAAACCTAAAATCACAACTCAGTCCCATCTCCATCTCTCACTCTCTACGGCGAAGAAATCCGTCCCCATCTCCGAAGATTCCGTCCCCATCTCCGGCGAAATCCCTCACAACCATTCACGGTCAGAAATCCCTCACAATATTCAGAAATGGAAAATCAACCTCCGAGGGTTAGTTTTTTTAATTATTTTATTTTGAAATGTTTGCATTATTGTAGGTTTTTCATATTGAAACTGATGATAAGTTTACTGGTCATTTCAATAATAGATTAACCATTTCAATTAGATTTCATTTCGCGTTACGATTCTGTCGTTGCGATTTTCATTCGCGTTGCTATTCTCTCGTTCCGATTTTCAAGTTAGTATTTGTCTTTGTCTTTGTTCTGTCTTTTGGTTGAAGTAATGCAATCCATTCAAGTTTCAATTTGCAGAAGAGTCGCAACGAGATAAATGAAAATCGCAACGAGAGAATGACTGTCGCAACGAGAGAAATGAAAAGCGCAACGAGAGAATCGCAACGCGAAATGAAAATCGCAACGAGAGAATCGCAACGCGAAACCAAAATCGCATTGCGATTTTCATTTCGCGTTGCGATTCTCTCGTTGCGATTTTCATTTCGCGTTGCGATTCTCTCGTTGCGATTGTTATCTCGCGTTGCGATTCTCTCGTTGCGATTTTCATTTCAACCAAAAGACAAAACAGTGTTGCAAATTTTAGTTTCAAGAATAAACTACTACTTTTTATGTTTATTGTTTTTGGTATATCTTCACAGTGTAGTTTTTGGTATATCTAACTTGGTATGTTTATTGTTTTTGTAGAAATTTTTTTCGGCTCAATTGACCTTGAGAAATAAAGTCAGCCTGGCCACTACAATTGCAAAGAAGCTTTCACCTGCTCAAAGACAATTGTTTGAGGAAACCTGCTTCGAGCCATGGCTGAGAGTACAGCATCCGGGTGGAGATGCTAATTTGACCCATTTGTGGCTTCAGACCATGACATCAAATCTACCCGACAGTATACAACGTGGTGAGGAAGAGATATGGTTTCATTTTCCACCAGCGTATACTTGTTTTGGGCGGAAGGAGTTCTGCTTAATCACTGGTCTACGATTCGGACACGATGATGTAGGCCGGTACACTCGTCATATCGCCCGCCCATCATGGTTATCCCGGGTTTTTCCGGATGAGTCAATGGAGAAGCCGAACCTACATGTCGACGACCTGAAGAAATTGTTTAATAAGAAAGCTGGTTTCACTCGGATGGATGACGTCGATGTTGTCCGAGTATGCCTTCTACTACTTGTGTATGCCGGCTTTTTAGGCAGAGAGGCCAGACAACCTATTCATCGGGAGCTAATAATATTGGTAGAGGACCTGAATGCATGGAATCTGTTTCCGTGGGGTTCGTATATATGGAAAGCTACCTGGACTAAGTTGTCGTCTGCCTTTGATGACCGCAAAAGTTTGCGGGGCGATGGGTCCAAATACACTTTGTCAGGCTTTGTTTGGGCCTTTAAGGTAAGAATTTCTATATAATGTTTCTAAAATTATAATTAATTATTTAACAATTACTAATTTTGTTATTATATTGTTTGTAGATTTGGATATTCGAGGCTTTCCCCAGCATGCGTACATATGCAATAAAAACGTCAAATGATATTCCCAGGGCTATTTCCTGGAAGAGGAAAACTCTGTTGGATTGGGAAGACTTAATACCATATGCCACAATAAATAATGTAAGTTAACACAAATACTTTCATATAATATATAAACAAGTTATTAATAGTAGACGTTTAACTTTGTTTGAGTTTTTATATTTTAGGAGGCTAACATTCCATTACAAAGACTGACACCCACGGAGGAAGAGCTTGCCACTGATTGGTGGCAAGCTAGTCAGAATTTTTTTGATGGCACGGATGATGAGCAGCATCCACTTCCTCCAATTCGAGAGCCATCACCTCACCTAGAGCCATCACCCGATCGACCCGACTATACACCTCTAGAACGAGAGCCATCACCTATCCCGTCACATCATCGAGCCTCTTCTCCACCATCACCTCATGATAGGCGACCGGCAAAGATGCCACGACTCCTATCTCCCTGTTCTCCACCTCCACCTCAACGGGATGAGTCAAGGGAGTTACGTGATGAGGTCAATGCCTTGCGTGAGGAGATCGGTACTCTACGCGATAACGATGGTGCATGGCGTGTGGAGGTGTCAACTTTACGTGGTGAGGTTGCCGCTCTACGTGAGATGATAGTATCGTTGCAGAATGAGGTTCATACTCTACGCAACGAGGTAAGTTTAAGATTTTCCATATTTAACTTAATGATAAATTTACTCGTAATTTCACTTAGATTAGCCATTTCACTTAGATTGCTTAGTAAATTTATTCGGTTGCTGCCAATTCTGCTAAACTGTGTATTCTTTAACACTGTGAAATAGTATTTGTCTTTGTTTTGTCTTTTGGTTGAAAGTAAATTTGTTCGGTTGCTGCCAATTCTGCTAAACTGTGTATTCTTTAACACTGTGAAATAGTATTTGTCTTTGTTTTGTCTTTTGGTTGAAAGTAAATTTGTTCGGTTGCTGCCAATTCTGCTAAACTGTGTATTCTTTAACACTGTGAAATAGTATTTGTCTTTGTTTTGTCTTTTGGTTGAAAGTAAATTTGTTCGGTTGCTGCCAATTCTGCTAAACTGTGTATTCTATAACACTGTGAAATAGTATTTGTCTTTGTTTTGTCTTTTGGTTGAAAGTAAATTTGTTCGGTTGCTGCCAATTCTGCTAAACTGTGTATTCTTTAACACTGTGAAATAGTATTTGTCTTTGTTTTGTCTTTTGGTTGAAAGTAAATTTATCCATTCAAGTTTCAATTTGCAGAAGAAGAAATAGTTTACTTTCGCAACACGAAACTTAAAATCGCAACGCGAAACCA